TGACGTATCTATAGTAGGAGGAATGACTTATGGGTGCTGAGCAAAAGTCAAGGTTTCCTCTTTGCCCCAATTTAAAATCATCACCAGCCAGTCAGACGCCTGCCAAAACAATCAGCAACAGCATCTCTTCCCCAAAACCCGAACACAGGGGCTGCTCAGAGAGCAGGGCAAGCCTTTAGAAAATAGGACAGATGGCATTACAACTCCAAGCAAAGTAACTCCTTGTATCATTAGCTATTGAACCGCGGCTTGATGTGGGGATCAGTGTAAAGCTTATTAGTCTTTAGACAGTTGGCAGCAGCAGCCACTGCAGCAACCGTTCGGGAGCAGAAGGAACTCATTCAGTTTAGTTGTTTTTCAGGTCATGTTAAGTCAAAATGTTTCTGTATGCACTCCAGTCCCCAGCTTAACCTTTCTCAGCCTCTCTAAGCGCAACTACGCTCACAAACAGCTTCGACTCACACACTCCTCTGATAAAGAGGGCTCCAGGAGCACGGCGCAGGTATCTAAAAAATTCCTGCCTGGTGCCATTGTGTAAGGATTTCACCCTACTTTGGAGAGCAAGGACTTGCCAAGAATACCACTGACCTCAGCCCCTACATTATGAAACAGCGCTGCCAGCTCCAGCCAGCTATGCAAAAGTAGGGATTGAATTCAAATCCTGAGCCACCCGTACTCCCGGGCAATAACAAAACACACACGCAGAGGGGGAGGGAAAAAAGGAAAAAGAAAAGAAGGGAAAAAAGAAAAAGCACACCACCCAAAAATTATACTCTAAGTTCATTTTCTTTTTACCGGAAGCAACCTTCAAAACAAACCCAGCTGGCGTTTCTCCCTCTCCTTCCCCCAAAATTAGGGAGTAGGAGGAAAGTTGTCGCCTTAATGCGCGCCTTCCCTTCCCGGGAGCTGCCGACCGGGAATTCAGCGGCGGGGAGTTTGGCGGGGGCCGGGAGGGGATCAGCCCCGCCGGGCTGCCCCGGAGCGGGGCCGCGGAGCCGCGGGCTGCCCCGGCCGGGCTGCGCGGGGCGGGCGNGCGGGCTCAGCAGCGCCGCCGCCCGGAGCTGCAGGCGGCGGCCGAGCCCCGCCGGGGGCAGCGGCGGCGACAAGGGCTCGGCGCTCCCTCTCGAGCCGGCTCTACGCCTCCCGCCGGCCCGCTCCGCCGCATCCCCTCGGGCACCGCCGTCGTCGCCTCCTCCCTCCTCTTCCTCCTCCTCCCATCCGGGCTGATGGGGGGCTCCGCGCCCGCCTCGGCGGCGGGGAAGTTGCCGGCTCGGGGAGGCGGAGCGGCGGGGGGCGGGCCGAGGCGGGACGCAGGAGGAGGGAGGGCGGGTCGCCGGGGGTCGCGGCCGGCGGGGTCCCCTCGGCTGCGGTGCCTCACCATCCTCCCCCTGGGAACACGTCCTTGCGGGGTTTAACCACCAAAAAGGAGCCTGAGCGGCCGCCGCCATGGTCCCGAGGGACGCGCATCATCTCAGCTTCGGCGGTGCTCCCTGTGCACGGATACTGGTGATGGGCAAGCTGGACGCCAAAATAAATAAGTAAAATAAAGACTTGATCTGCCGAATCTAGTGACTTCGGGGAGGCCACCTGTTGTCACGCTTCTCCAAAGTAATCCGTATCAACCGGCTGTCCCCTCTGTCTTTGCTATATGGGGTAAAAACGAGGAAGGGAGGGGTGTGAAATCGCTAATTTATCACTGTGCTGGGGGTTATCTAGCCGCCGATTCTTCTCACGTGAACTTAAGTTTTTTAAAGAATAAAGGGTCTGGCAACATGGCTGATTTTCTTTGTTTACCACGACACCGAGCACGTCTCAGCAGCAGCCTGACAAACGCGGAGCATGGAAGTATTATTAGCGTGCCATTAGCGGCGGGGTAATACTATTAATGTATTTGCTTTCACAAGTGATGTGTACCCTTCGCTGATACGGATCACGCAATGTAAATAATGTCAACACTAATAAATCTGTTTAATTCCCAGTCACTAGCAGTCACATTTCAATTCCAAGTAAGGTAGTGTCATCTTTATTTGATTTTTTTATTTGTGAAATTTCCCAGGGATAACCATCTTTTCCTTACAAAACATACACTGCTAGTCCCAGGAGAAAACATGTTACACTTTTAGACATAAGTGGCTCTCAAAAATGCTGTGTCTTCAGACAGTAATCTACTAAACCTACTCAATTTCTAGATATGGCTCATTAACAAAGATAGCTCTTTGGGCTAATCCCACTCATATGTGTCAGCAAAATATTTTTTGCAGTAATACCAATTATTCTGGGCAGATCATGGGGAAATACTAGGGAGTGCTCCACATTCTCTACATCTTGCTTATTGGTGCTTGCTACAAGTCCTTAGGAGGGATTTTTAATTTTTTTTTTTTTTTTTTTGTAACAGATTGGAATTGTCATGTCCTTTACCCTAAAAAATAACAGTTTAAATATGCCTCGTTTAAATAATTCCTTCAAATTAACCAAGCCTGCAGCTCCCTAAAAAATAACAGTTTAAATATGCCTCGTGTTCATCATCCAGAGATGATAATAATTCCTTCAAATTAACCAAGCCTGCAGCTATAGAAAAGTGCCAGCTTTTCTGAAGCTCACTTTACCAATCCGGAGTGCTGGAATTCCCTTTTTTTGGGGGCATATGTATAGGAGGAGTGCCACAGGAATGTGAGGAATGCTCTCTTGGGCTTCACTCCTCAATCACTTCAGGGCACCCATTCCCTGCTGCTGCAGCCTAGCTTGCCTGACATCTTTATAACTCTACATCAAAACAGAGCTACCCACTCTATTTTAATATGCAATTATCTTTCATTTCAGACCTATTAGCTGTAACAGCACCAAGTCGAGTGTTTTGCTCTGGTTAATTTTTTGCTGCGCTGTCTGGTAACACAATACCTGTGATTCATAGGGATGTTTCACTTCAGAGAATGGGATTTCAGGGCTCTCATTGTATTCTGATCAGTGTCACAAATCTCAGTGGTTATAGATCTGTGTCGAAGGCCCATCACACACTACGTGAATTGTCATAAATGAGAATGAATGAAAGAAGAGAATTGTACATAGAGAATTGTGTACAAATATACTCAACAACATCTCAACAATATTTAAGGATGTGTTGTGTTAACACCTTTTTTTGTGTCTGTAAGCAACATATTTGTATAATGCAAATACTTCTGATTATTCATATCCTCCATGGTGGATACTAGGATGTCCTTTATGCTGGGCTTTTTCTCTTGCTGAAATCAGTCTAGTTATTTATGAATAGAAAAAATAATAATAATAAATCAGTAAATAATCATCCAGATTTGGAGTAAGGACAGTTATTACTTGAGAAAACATGCAATTATCTCCAGAAACCCCCATTTTTCACTACAAATATTCAACAAAACGTAATTTACAGTGTCAAATATTTTTGCAACTTACATTTTCTCTTAGTTTCATTGTCTTCTTGTTTTTCAGCTTCAACAAAAATCAGTATGATTTAAAATACACATATGTACCAGGATATGCCATTCATTTTGTTAATTGGCAACTCTTCAGGCTAGATAATACTCTTCAGGTATTATCTCGTCTTACCCTAATTTACAATGGATTGGGTTTTTTTGAGGTGGGTGTTTTTCTGGTCTTGTTAATACATTACAAAGGTTTCCTACCCATCTTACACCAGGAAACCAAGAGTTAACCATACACAAGCAGTACATATAATGTTGATATTTCAACAGTATGAAAAGGCTGCTAGACAAAATATGACAGCTCAGCATAGCTATAAGTAATAGCTATGTTATTTTATAGAAGTATTCTGCCTTAGAAATACAGGGTATCTCCCCTCCTGAATATATCCATTTCTTTCAGTGGTAATTTGAAATGGTCAGGTCAAACAGTTGCTAAAATGCTAAGAAAACAAATTCAGCAGCTCTGGGAGCATTTTGTTCATTTGCTAAACCTCATTTTTAAGAAGATACACTTCAAAAAGCTTGCACTTGGCTTAGCCACATGGCTTTCAATTCATTACACCTGTAGTTAGTCACCTACAGTTAAATGTTTGGTTTGCTTGGATGCACCAATCTGTCCTGGTAAGAAATAAAGCATTGCCACTTTGTGGGAGTTTAGTAAGTTATATACAGTCTGTATGGTTGTAAGCCCAGGGATGCTCCTTTCTCCCATTTCTTGGGTAGGTACTTGTTTCCATCTAGCTCCTGGAGATGGAAATGGCAGCTGCAGCAGATTCATGCAGTTAAACTCCAGCCCACAGAATTGTCCCTCTCCTTCCCAGATCTTTCCTGGCACCTTCTTGGCAACCATAAAAAGATACTTCCATAACCATTCATGGAGGTAGACAGTTAGAGGGGAACAGAGGTGCTGGCCTGCTGAACCCCTCCAGAGCTGACCATGAGAACAGTATCCATCCCCTTTGGTCTGGGCAGAAGGCAATTTTGTAGGATTTTAAGTCAAGCATTAATTATTTTAGGTATGAGTAAGGCCACTACCAAGAGGAAATGATCTTTCCCTTCAAATAAGATTAGCCTCTATGCTCTCTCTTAAGGGGTGGCACCACTTCCAAGAATGACTCTCACCTTTTGGGATTTATACATGGCTGGGACTACTACCACTTGCAATTCCAGTTTTTAGTACCTTTTGCACTATGATGAAGGGCATGTGAGTTTGCTTGTTTGTTTGTGTGGGTGGTTTTGTCTGTTAATTTTTTACATAATATCCTCTGTTATTGTGGATATTTGTCATCCAGTAATCACTTATGTATGGACACAATATGGAACAACCACTCTGCATCTCTGATAGAAAGAAGGCTAACACAGACCATAGTAAAATAATCCTTGAATGTTTACCCCTGGTTTTATGACCCTTTTATACTCATAAGATGTATGAAATTCTAAACATTACAAAAGAGAATCTGGCCTGTGCCCTAAAGGAAAAATCATCCTTTGTTTTTTTTCTTGATGGAAAAATTGAAGAATTTTTGACTACTATAATGCATTTCACATATTTATTCAGAATTTGCCACTATTTGCATAGCTACATTTGGGAATATTTATCATTAAACTTCTGCTGTAGCTGCAGATGTATGCAAACCAGCTTTAGCTAGTTAGATTAATACTAGAGAAACAGCATGTACTGTCCAAGTACTTGCATGATCTTGGACAGGAATTCACAGTCCACACAGTGTTCCCTTCAGCTGTACTGATAAAGGTGCCCAAACAAAAGGAAAGGTGGCTGTACTGCAGCAGCACCCGGGAGGCATAGCAGGAGGCCTGTGCTACACACTGTGTGAGCACTGAACAAATCAGCAGCAACTCTTGAAGGTCAGGTGTGTTTCTGAAGCTCTGGAACATCTACACAAACTTCCTCTGTGCTTGTGACCATGGTACAGGTCTGCCCCTCATCCCTCAGGAGCAAAAGTGGTGATGGGAGGTCTTCTATCCTGGCACCCCCACTGGGAAGGTGTGCTCCAGATCTCAGGTCAACATCCGCCCCAGCTTCTCCTTCTGTGAAAAGAGACAAAAAACTAGCAACTAAACTTCTTCGGTATTCTGAGATATAAAGAAGCACAGCAACATGCTGTTTCTTGTAACAGTAGCAGCAGCATTTTGAGGCTTTTTTAAAAACAGAAAATGAACCACAGAGAGAAACAGTGAAATTGTATCTTTTGCCATTATCAGGATGTGTGGTGGAAGAGGCTGGTTCAGTGGGATGGTACGAAGCACACAGCAATAAGTCAGTGCTTTGGCCCTGGTGTGCTCTGGAACAGGCTGCCAGCGTGGAGAGGTGCTTGGTGTGGGTCTCAAATTGCACCTGCTACACAGTGACAAAGGTATCAGAGAGACTAAAGCAAGTGTTGTTTTAGATAGATGACACTTTCTGAATAATGTATGGGTTAAAACCCACAATCTGCTCCTTTCCAAATAGTCATCCATGAACTAATATAGGCAAGATATACTGTATTAGCATATAATTACAGCTGTTGAATGTATATCATAACAGGTTCATGATCTATATATTTGGTGTCACATATACGTCTGATTATATATTTCAGTAAATGACATCCCAAAGAAGGAAAAAAATATTTCATTCTTACTCATTGCCTTTGAAATTTAAATTACTGAACAAATTAAAGCCCAAACTTACATTTCAATGTTTTACACTTAAGCCAATATATTTCCTAAAGGAAAATACAAGCTTACTCTTTCTGAAATAACTACAATTGCATTATTTAAAACAATCTTTTGAAGTTTCTACAACCCAAATATTACATGATTGGGCCAAAGTATCATAAATAGAAATTGTCTAAAAGTCAAATATAAATGGGATTACTAATTATTCAAAGCTGGCCAAGTCTTTAAAATCATTTAATTCATACATATTAATGCTAGATAGCCAGATGATCATTATTATCCAACAATACTGCATTTCATAAAACACTCGACAATAAAGTTACCTAATAAATCATGCAGAATGATCAATAAAATATGTAAAGCTCTGCTAGGAAAATGAAAAGCATAGGAGATAGGAACTTTATTCCTGCACCAGGATATAAAATATTTATATGAGAAAAAAATATTGTTAACATTGTTATTAAGACCTTTTGCTCTAAGCATGCTATTTTCAGTACTAGGATTGTATACTAATTACCTAATTTTCACTGGCTGCCATCAGAAACTTTTTCATTTTTCAAAAGTCATATATATTATATATTATATATTATATATTATATATTATATATTATATATTATATATTATATATTATTGAAGCATTTGTCTTCAGCTTGTACTATCTATTTCAAAAAATATGAATATATTTATAACTTCTGGCATTACTGGAGGGCATTATTCTACAAATTGATTTTACAGCTGGTAGCATTTTTCCATAATGAATTATTGATTAATTATTCCAGCTATTGCCTGTCCTCGATCCAGCACCAAGCACTGCTTGCTGCACTGCACTGCTAAGCCAGCCCATGCCAGAGCTACTCCTTGGACCGAGTCCCCAGACGCCACATTCCTGTCAGTTTTCACCTCTTTACTCCTGTCAGCATCTTCCACAGAAATCATCCACGCTCCTCCCTGCTGAACACACTGTGGTGAATCACAAACACGTTCCAACATAATAGTCCCGGCACTTATTAGAAGAGCATTTGCATTTACATTGCTTCCTAACAGCCTTTATAAATTATTGCTTTGCCTTGAAATTAATAGTCATTGTGGATAATGTTTATGTGGCTCAGCCTTCTTCATCCTTCAGTCACCATTTAGATCTGTTCAAAGCATATGGGGATGTGTGGGTGTGTACTTAAGTGAATGTTTCTCTGCTGTGCATACATATCCTGGCAAAGCATATTCACACCTATATCATAATGTGACAAGTACTAGGTACCAATTTAAATAGATAGAATCAGCTTTAAGTTCAGTGGATTCTATAAAAGTTGGTATTTTTGTTACTTACAAATTAGTGATACCATACTCCATCGATTTGTGTTCCATCTATTCTTCCAGGAAGAAACTATCCAGTAACTGAAATAAAAGAGTTTTAAAATCCAATTCTAGTCTGTCCAAAGAAAACATATTCCAGGTAAACGGACACTGAGTTAAGCTACCAAGGTGATCTAAGCTTATCGTGAAATTGTTTTGATCATTCTGGACAATTTAATGACAATATGCCTGACCTTGTGTGTGCAGAGCTCCTCACTGAACCTGTACTCAAAGAATATTCTTAATAGACAGATCATAAAAAAATTACACACTTCAGGTTCAAAATGCTATTATGACCAAATGTGTTTCGTAGATTCTACAGTCTTTGTTAATGTCAGCAGTGAAAATTAAGACTTTGTATTCCTTTCCTTTTGTAATAAATTTAATACAAAGAGATCCCTATTTCCACTGTAACCTTCAGCTTCTGTATAAATGCATAATGATAAATTCAAGGCTAAAATTCAGTTGGAGCAAGAAATCCTCCAGTAAAACAGAGACGTGAAGGACCAGACAAAAATAAGCAGTACTGCACTCTTAAGCAGTCACTAGCTCTGAGGTAGAAGTTTACACAATGTATTCCCTGTGTTTCTTGGATCTAAGACAGACAGCAACAACTTATCACTTTCCCTCAGGGTTTTTATGTTAATTTTGTTATTTGTTTCATTTATGTAACAGATACTCATAATACTCCTTAAACATTCAGCAGCTAGCTGTGATAAACACTATCTTCCTGCTCCTGCAACAACTGATTTGTGCTGAGAACATGCACCATTGCCTTCTCGTGCCACTGGTGGAAGAGCATGGGAACACACTGTCTGTTTCACTTTTCCTTCCTAGAAAAAAATTAAAATAAGAAGATAAAGCCTCTTTGTTGCTGTGCTTAGCAGAGCAAGTAGCAGAGGGAAGTTGCAGATGAAGATCTGTAGCCAGCCAAGTATATCTTGTAAATAAGTTTTCTAGGTCAGGAAGAGAAACTGACATGTGGGAAGTAATTGGACAGAAAGAGGTAGTTGAGATTAACGCTTTGTGGAAAATAGATGACTCTCTGGAAGACGTAACTTTTGGAAAATAAAGAAACTCTCAAAGAATTTGTTGGAGGAAGCTATTTGCCAAGAATTTTTTGTTGTTGGGTAGGGTTTTTTTTTTTGTTTTGTTTTTTGGTTTTTTTTTAGTCAAGAATTTTTTGTTGTTGGGGTTTTTTTTTGTTTGTTTTTTTTTTTTTTTTAGCCACTTACAAGACTACTGACATGTGCTGGCACCTGACTGGCATGACAAGAGCCCTGTGCACTGCCACTGTAACCACACTCCTGCTATCCATATTTAAATTTTATCTCTCTTCCTTCAGCTCAAGCTAGCTGGAATGGAGTCAGCCCTGTGTATTTAGTCTTTGGGATAAGGAAGTCTTGAAATACTTCACAAGTACCCTCCTGCAAATAAACTGGAGGGTGGAGATCGGCATCCACATGTTCTTGTTTGTGTGCAAGCAGCATGCACATGAGGAAGCAGATTCTTTGGTGGGAGAAGAGTTCCTGAGAAGAGTTCCAGATCATTCTTCTACCTTGGTGTGTCTTTGTTTTACAGCCCAGGTCCTCATCTGATTAAAGCCCCTGTCTTTCAATGAGACCAACAAAATTCTGCTTGTTTGAAACAGCTAAGCACCCTCTCCCTGTCTCTGATCCCTGCTGGGCTTTTAGGGAGTTCTCACAGTGCTGCAGCAGAGGATGGTCTCCAGCTAAAAGAAAAATGCACTGCTTGAAGCCCCCGGAGAGAGCCACCTCTCTAAGGTGCACTGGGCTGTGCCAGGAAGAGCTGCATGACGAACCACAAAACAATCTTGCCCCTGTTTGCCCAATGGCGACATCTGTGTCTCGTTAGCGATGCACGAACTGTTACAATAGTTCTTCTCTCAGGTGGAAGTGAGCTGTATAACTTCATTCCGTTGATGTGAGTAGCTAACAATGTTGCCTCGAGCCTTTGCATTACTACTGCATTCAGGTATGAGCTTAGATTCCTCTTGCTATGGAGCAAAGGAGTTGAAGCACAGAGGAAAATTTTAATTAATCTGTCTTGGTCCCTTGTGATACAAAAATATTCTCAATGCTGCAGAAGTCAAGTATTTACAAGGATACTTTGTTTATTTTCAAATAGACTTTCTGAGGTTTTGTTTGAAATACCTGTAATCCTTAACCCACACTCATCACTAATACACTCCCAGTGAGGGTCCTTCTCACTTTATACGTAAATCTCTGATGCAGATAGTGGGTTGATACTGCTGGTCAATAATACAATAATAAATACAATGGATTAAAATTACATATAGCAGACCTTCAAAGTGCAAAGAGGGGCCTTTCAAGCAAAAAAAAAAAAAAAAACCAAAAAAAAAAAAAAAAACCCCAACGCCCCCCCCCCCCAAAAAAAAAAAAAATCAATAATGCTACAGCTATTCAGTTCATACTGAAGTTAGGTGAAGTATTTTCCTACTGTGGTTAGATCTTAAACGATCTGTGCATGTGGGAATTAAGTTGTACTTCACTTTGTGGGAGCCTCAAACTAAACCTGAAGGTTCCAAGGCTAATCTTGTGGAAAATAAGAAAGAAATTTGTAGGTGGATGAAGGTGTTATGGTATTTGAGAAAAATTGGACTACAGTGGCCTGAACCCATTCTGCAGTGCTTGCAAATCTTTATTTCAGTAAACTTTAAAGTGAAATAAAAGTGCTGAAGCTATCCAAGGCAATGTATAGCTTTGAGCTATTCCCTAAAATACCTCACAGTATGAGCATATGTATGTATTTTCTCCAAAACTATACAGGTAAGTCATGGCCGTGAGAAAGCATCTCTTAACCTTAACCCAAATTATTAAGGTTAAATCATATGGTATCTCCATCTTCTAGCAGGCATTTGCATCTCTTTTAAAAGCAACTGAAAATAGTTAATTGGCCTAGATGCACTCACTTGCACAATTATAAAGTGAAATCAGGTAGCTGGCATTAAAGGCTAAGGATGTAGGAGCCATAAAAATGTGATAACTTGTTCCACTTGTAATTTCCCTTAAGAAAAATCTCACTAATTTATGTGCCCATAATTTCCCTGAATTTACCTGAAACACCGTAGAGTAGTCATAAAACCAGAAAATTACTTGCTTTTCCCTTTTCTCCAGAGTACTTTGTGGGTCCAGATATCTTTCTCAGGGAAACAAGAGGGAGATAAGATGGAACATCAAAGTATTCTGGGAAAAAAAAAAAAAAAAGAAACTTTTTGGGGTTAAAAAAATCCAATCCTTCACCCCACTGTATTCAGCACCAACCATCCACTCCTACATGACACACCAGAGAGTTCAATTACACTCAAGATCTTCCTGAGAAGCTGCAGAGTCCTTCATTCTATTGACATAACTGTGCAAGTATTCACTCTGTGAAAAAAACCCCAATAATCTGAAAGAACGAAAAGCTGCATCAAAAAATAAGGAAGACGGAACAGAATTAAAAGATACATTTGCTTTAGCCTGCCAAGCTTTACCCTCCTCAGGGCTTGGGCTAGACATGCTATTTGCAGTCTGTTTACCCAGAAAGCATAAAGTGGGAGCATGTCTGTGGTACAAACCTTTGTGCCTGCAGAGTTCCCCAGCTAGCCCTGGCTGGTTTATTCAGAAGAGCCTCACCATCTCACAGCCTTATCAAATATTCCTCATGGGGCCAAGTTGGCTGCTGTTTTCCAAGCCAATTTTTCCAGCTACCTATGAAGGCCTTAAGGCCCAGTGAGGTTACAAAGACCTTAAATGATGATTATCAGACAGCCTTCAAGGTCTTGCAGACCTAGTTTAGCAACCACATCCCAGAGGGCCCTGGCCAGGTTACATGTGCTGGTCAACACTGGAAACTTCCACTGGCTTGTCTGTGCAAGGTAGAGCATGTAGCTCAGTCATGCCTGTAGAAGCTCAGTGCAAATACATAATTATAAAGATAACTTTTACTGCTACAGTTTACTTCATCCTCCTCACTAAGATGAGGTACAATGTTACAAGAACTTTCAGTGGAAGGGAGTTTATACTGGGGGTGTTCAGATTACTGGAGCTGTTTTAATTATAATCATGCAGTCAAAGCAGAGGAAAAAAATAATCCTGCACTGTCCTTTCAACTGAGAAGGCATTTTTCATCATTCTTCGTATAATCATTTCCCTCTGTTTTGAAGTATGGTTTGAGGCAAGTGCTCCAAATCTTCTATCAAATTCGAGTCTCTTTGACGATCCCTGCAGGCTCCAGTTCTGCTGTATTAATTGAAACTTAGTGCAGTAGTGTATTTGGCCTCATAAATTTTAGAAATGCTGCATTTTTATCTAGTAGTACTATAACCTGAGATACATTTTAATTTTTGATGTCATAATCACTTCTTTCATGGGGAAAGGCATGTTGCCATGGTGAAGTCTTTTAACTTATTATTTTCATAGAACACATCACAGAAGAACATTAGGAAAGTGTAAATAATTCCTTCCTTCATAATGCTCACTGTGCTCTACATCTTTGAACAAGTTACTAACATGTGTCCCTCCTTGTTGTAACACACATAACAAAACTCGGGCTCCTACCTTGTGGGGGTGTTTTGAGGGCTGGAGCTTGTAAAGTCCTTTTGAGGATGAAAAGCTTTATATGAGTATTGAGCACTAATCTCAGCCATGTGGACAAGCCGCGCACATTCGAAGTAAAAACCTTTCTAATAACATCCATCTGCATCTTGAATACAAGAAAGAGATTGTAAGACAGCCTGTCAATGATCAAGGCTTTTTCATGCAGCTCACCCTACTGTTTGGCAGCTGGCCAGCTCAGAGAGCCTACAGAGGAAAATGGCTCCGAAGGGAAAAATGTGCATGTTAAGCAGAGGACAGCTTTTGTGAAGGGTGAGAAAAAACAAGACAAATACCCTGAATACCAAAGTGCTCTTTGGTACATGAAGGAATGAAGTGAGACAAACTGTAAGGAAGAAACTACAGTAGGCAGGAGCCTTCTCTTCTCGCTAAAGATAACTCAAGCCTGTTTGCACTAAACTGGTGAGATAAAACACATTTCCACTTAAGGACCAAGACTGCTTTACATTAAGGATGTTCCTTTGGAGAGAGGCTGGGAGAAGCCAGGGAAGGATTTATTTGGAACTGCAACACCTAAACCAACCAAGAATGCATGTCAGCCTTCAAAACTCTATTAATGACATCATAAAGTCTTTCAAAATAGTTTGCGAAGCAATACAGTAGGATCCGAGCATGCTGAGGGGATCTGAGCAGCTCTTCTTCAGAGGGAGTGATTTTTCTTCAGTGGGACTTATCTCACTGGCAAAGGCACTATAGCTCAGGGCACTGGCTCCCTTCTGTTACAAGCCCCTGTGCAGAGGCATCAGCAAATTCTTTTGCCTGATATATATATATACACACACATATATGTATCCAATGTCAGAATTAGCCCCCTTACTTCCTCTCACCAGTCATCTACAGATTCATTTCACTCAAGCTGTGCTCCAGCTGTACAGCATTGCAGTGCTGCAACAAACATATGGAGTTTCAGCCAATAGTCCTCCTTCACTTCCTACAGGCTTTTAGTCTCTTTTTCCCTGCAATGCTTTGTGCACTACCTCAGATGTAGCAGCATTTAATTAAAGTAAAATATGGGGGAATTAAACTAATAACAAGAAAATCTTAATCTCTCATCCTACCTTTAGAGAATTTTGTGTGGAAAGATTTCTAGTCCTCCATTAAAATGTTTACCTGAAAGAGATTCCTCCTTTAATAAATCACCTTTATATTTAGATAGTACCTTTTATTCTGACAGCTTGTCTTTACTGAAAAGTTGATTCCAGTCATGACTCCTGTGTAGCCTTTAATTCAAATTCCTGCCATTTACAAAGAACCCAAAACTAAATATTTAAGCAGCTTTTAATTCACATTATCTTGCCACAGATCAATTTAGCACAACTCATCAACTGCTAACATGATCAATAATTAATGTGGCTGCAGGTCATCTGCTTCAGAGTTCTGTTAGTCTTTGTTATGTCTTCCTGCAGGTTGCTCCATGAGCCCATGGAAAACAGACCAGCACTTCCATGGCTCCCTGGAGTGAAATCCATAGAGGAGCTCAGTCCACTGAAAAAAGAAATAAAAAATCCAAGGAACCAAACCAATTTAAAAAAACCCCAAACCCCACACCACAGCAAAAGACTTTAAATATGCTCTCAGAAGTGTTCATGATCCAACAGGCAAGCCCTGGAGAATTTCCCTACTGTGGTGTATTGTGTTACTAATCCCAACATTTGATTTCCTGAGCTCCCCTCTCCACAGCAGGGATGGCAGAGGAGCACATGTCCACATCTCAGCTGCTCTAGTACAGGGCCTGGCATCTGGAGCCAAAGTCTTTGCAGCTGAAATTGAGATGGCATACTGTGGACTGAAACAAAATTGTTCACCTAGGTAGGGGATATATGTTGTTCATTTTGAAGCTCTTTTAAAACAAAATGAGCAACCAAGCCTACACAGATAGAAAAAGCAGACTATGTGCTGCCTCATATCTCCCTCCATCTCTGAAACAGACCTCTCCAACCACACAGATTATTTGTCAGGCCTGAGGAAGCCCTCATGTCCACCATGTGGCTGCCTCAAAACTGCATGTACTTCTGCAACGTGTTTTACTGACTTTGCTGTTCTTGCTGCTGCTGAAATTTTTGAAATCATGTGATTTAATCTGCAGTGCAATGATATAGCAGCTGTATTTTCTCATCTTCTCTCTTTCTGTGATTTATTAGGCTTTTTCTACACAAATTACAAGCATGGGAAGTAGAAGGGTGATTTTGACAACTGTGGACCACCATCAGTTGTGGAAGAAGTCTGTGCAGCATAAATACAGACAACAAAAATAAAAAGTAAAAAATTAAAAAACAAAAATAAAGGTTACCTCCCTTCTTGTGTGCAAACCCACAGCAACATAAGCACACCTAACCAGCATGGCATCACTTGTGTAAGTAAAACACCTCTTCAAGTGCACTGCTATTTTCAATGGCTACACTTTTTCATGAACACAGGGGCTTGAGGATGAAGCCAGCCTTCGAGCCTAGCTGCGTGTGCTGTCTGCAAGGCACCCAGCCCAGCATTGCAGGTGACAACAGGAGGCTGTGACCAGGCTCTGGATGTGCCTGGCAGAGGCTGATTGTGCTCCCAGCCCTGCATGACAGAGCACGAAAAAATGTGGCTTGTGGGAAAGTAAAGGGAGGAGGAGTGAAAATGGGACATCAGACTCCCATTTGAGAGGAAGAGGAAGAGAGACTTCCCACTTGGGAAGAGGAAGAGAGACTGAGGCAAGTCACACTGGGAAGAGCAGTTGAAGGGTCAAGAGAGGACAGCAGCAAAATGTTGATGAACAAGTAACCCTTGGTGATTCAAAGCCAGTGCCCACCAGCTCAGCTCTTACTCAGAAGATCAGCGTGTGCCAGTGGGCATGCACAGGCAGGCACTGCCAGTCAAATGCTCTGGAAGTGCCCTGTAGGGATCTTTGGGGGAAAGAAAACTATTAAAGTGACAATAAAGACGCTTCACTACAAAAGTCAGAGCTGCCACATATGCTTAACTAGAGTGTAAGGAACACTGATATTCTTAATTATTCATTAATTAGAAGTTTATTTCAGATGTGGTTGGAAATATACTGGAAATCTCTTGCTGAGCATTTTCATGTCATATGTAGTATTGCTGAAGCATTGAGGGCTTATATTGTGTCATACCAGTCCCTTTAGATTCACACACACAGAAGCGGCTTGTGCCCTAAGGTGGTTACAAGTGAAAAAAAATCAGGAGACAACAGATGGAACCAGCAGCTGGAGGATTGGCAGAAATCAAGGCATCTCTGACAGGCATGCCAGACATTGTTTTGGGCTCCTTTGTTCCATACCTTTTGCCAGCACCAAAAAACACAAATCTCAACAAAATTACTGGGTGAATCATAGAAAAAGCAACTCTAGAAAAAGACCTGAGTGTCCTCACTCAGATCAATTTCATGCACTGGAAGACCCTGAAGAACCACAGGTGCTGCCCCTGATCCACCTTTGTGGACACAGACCCCCTGACACAGCAAACAGCAGCTGAAACCCAGGAACCCAGTCTCTACAAATAACTCAGTTGTCAGTGGGCAGTCTCCAGCACACTTATTAAATGCAGGCAAACAGATGTGGGCCTCACCTGGAGCCAGCTCCCCAAGGGCACCTGCAGGGCTTGCTTCCCCAGGACTGCCACCCTGCCACAGTGTGGGGACCAGGCTAGGCCAGCACCAGGGAAACAGGCAAGGGACTGACATGTCACAGTGCACCAGGGGAAGAGCAAGCAGCCTCTGTGGTGATGGACACACACCCCACTGGCACCATGCAGCAGGGGCTGGACCCAAAGAGATGCCACACCGGCCACTCTGCCACCACTGAGCATCACGGGGAGACACACAGGGAGTAGCGGATGGTGCTGGGATCTGGAGCCCCTTGCACAGCAGGGATGCTGCTTCAGCCTGGAGCAGGACTGCAGCTGCCAGGGACACAGGGCAGGAGAAGCATGACTGTGTACCTGCACTGCCAGTGTCTGTGCAGTGGGGTAAACAGGACAGGGTGGTGATTAAAGCACAGGCAGCACAGTAAAGGAAGATTAAGCTGTGACATGAAATGTATGTTAAATGGCAGCACAGTCTTTGTTTCATGACAGTCTAATGCCTAAAAAGAAAAAAACATAATTTTGATGTTTGCATTTTCCCTATCAAGTATCTGGGTACTTTTCAACAACAAGGGATTATTTATTGTGTGCTAGGCACATAAAGGCATGCACACCTAGGGACAATAACGTGAACTTAGTCTTTGTTTCATGACAGTCTGATGCCTAAAAAGAAAAAAAACATAATTTTGGTGTTCACATTTTTCCTATCAAGTATCTGGGTACTTTTCAACCACAAGGGATTATTTATTGTGCTAGGCACATAAAGGCATGCACACCTAGGGACAATAACGTGAACTGGATGTTTTTTCAATGTGGAAGCTTTTATGCCTTGCCCAGCAGTTCTCATTCATTACTGAGAAGCATGCCCTGCACCTCCATATTCAAGAAAAAGCCCTGGCAGTGTTCAAGGAGAAAATGAGGTTCTGCTCCAGGGGCTGAATGAAAACCTCCTGCTGGGCATCAGCAAGGATTTCTCAGGGTTTCTAGTTAAAAGCAGCTTCAGAGGTGTTATCCTACTACAGCTCCATTTGAATTTCAAATGTACAAGTGTAAACGAGCAGAACCCAGAATATAATTGATGGGCTAACAGAAATATGTATCTTCATTAAAAGAATTTGTATGTGTTTTGGAAACTGTTTTTACATTATAGTAATGGTCTGTGTATAGACTCATGCTTAATAATGGTTTTATTTAGAGACTCATGCATTTCAGTGTACTTATATCTTGCAATAATTAAAAAAGAATTGCACAAATTGTGTGTCAATATTCTATTACTTTCTTAAATACCAAAATACTGCAACCAATATCTGGATAGTATAAATTGAGTTGCAATATGGTATATGTGCTCCAATAGCACGGAACATATGAGTATGTGCTCTTCAAACTATACACAGCAGAAGCTTCTACTATTGAGGTACAAGTCACAGGAACATAAAATCAGTAGTTTGGGGTCAGATTAAGAATTCATATCATCTAATATCCTTGCCAGAATTGCTCTTAAGTCTCAATCACAGGTTTTTACCTTGCATTTCCCTTGAGCCAAAAAGGT